AAGACCCAAAATAATAATAAAAAAGGAGATATCACCTGGGCATTTCTGAAATCCAGAGTATCATTAAGGACTACTTTGAAAATTTGTATTATAATGAACTGGAAAATATAGAAGGCATTGACAAATATCCAGATAAATGTGACATAAATAAATTGAATCAAGAGGATATATATAAAGTCTAAACAGACCAATATGAAACAACGAGATTGAAGCAAATATATATATATAAAGCCTTCCAAAAAGGATAGCTAAAGACCAGATGATTTTTCAACTGAGTTATCAGAACTTTAAAAAAGAATCAACACCCAACCTCTTCAAATAATTCCATGAAATAGAAAGGGAGAGAATTCTCACAAATTCATTCTAAGAAGCCAGTTGAATATTACAACAACAACACATGAAAATTAATAGCTTTGTAGTACTCCAATAATGAATCTGCTGAGAAATAAATCAAATTCTTCCATTCAGAATAGTTTCAATAATTGGGAATAAACCCAATTAAGGAGGTAAAACACCTCATGAAAACTATAGAACACTGAAGAAACAAATGGATGACCTCAGAAGATAAAAAGACATCTCTTGTTCATGGATAGAAAGAATTAATATTGTCAAAATAGTCACGTTACCAAAAGCCATCTACAACTCAATGCAAATTCCACCAAAATACTAATGTTATTCTTCATGGAAGCAGAAAAAAAAAGTTCTTCCTATAAAAGAATAAAGACCCAGTATAATCAAAGCATTCCTGAGCAATACAAAAGAGGTTGAAGGCAAAACAGTACCCAATCTCAAATTATACTACAAAACCAAAGCAACAAAAATCACATTATTCTGACATAAAAAACAGACATGAATATCAATGAAGTAGAATAGAAGATGCAGGAACAAACCCACATAGCTTCAGTCATCTATTCCATGACAAGAGTGCCAAAAACATATGTTGGAGAAAAGATAGCCTTTTTAACAAAGGGCACTTGGAAACCTGGACATCGATATGTGGAAAATGGATCTAGACCTCTATCTCTTGTCCGTCACCAAAGTCAACTCAAAGTGGATCAAAGGCTGAGGAATTCCACCAGAATCTCTGAAAATCCTAGAAGAAAGCATAAGATCAACACACCAACATGTTATCATGAGCATTGGCTTCCTTACCAAGACTCCTAACATTCAAGAAATAATAAATGGAACACAGCAAAAGGGAAAAAGCACGAAGAGAGATCCTCCAGGATGGGAGAAGATCTGTGACAGCTGCTCCTCCAACAAGGGATTGGTATTCAGAATACACAAGAATGCAAAAAAAAATAATACCAAAGAAATTACCCAAACAATAAATTGACAAAAGGACTCAGACATTTCTAAAATGGCCAACAAATATATGAAAAAAAATTCAACATTGCTAGCCATCAGGGAAATGAAAATCAAAACTACTTTGAGATTTCATCTCATTGCAGTACACATGGCAATCCTCAGAATACAAATCATAGTAAATTTTGGGAAAGATTAGGGGGAAAGATGCATTTAAATGTTGTGGGTGGAACTGCAGAGGAGGAAAGCCACTCTGGAAAGCAGTATGAAGATTTCTCAAAAAGCTAGAAATGGAACAACCATATGACCCATCTGTCCCACTGCATGGTTCTTTATGCAAAAGAACTAAAATCAGCACACTGTGGAAACTCAGTCTCATTAATATTTATAGCAGTGTGATTTACAATAGTCAAGTTATGGAACCAGCCCTGGTGCACATCAACAGACGAATGGCTAAAGAAAATGTGTATATACACACAATGGAGTTTTACTCAGCCATAAAAAAGAATGATATTATGTCATTTGCTGGTAAATGTATGGAAATTGAGAACATTATGTTTTGTGTATTATACCAGTCTCAGAAAGTCAAAGGTTGAATGTTTTGTTCCCTTGCCAAATCTATAGAGGGGAGCTGGATAATTTTAAAAACTCTGCATGTGTGTGTGTGTGTGGGGGGGTGATCAGGAAAGCAATGAATAACAGGATTGAGAGGGTGGGAGGAGAAAAAGGCAAGGGAAAGTGCTGGGGAATGAGATCTCTCAAACCATGCTAAGCCCACCTATGAATTCACCATGATGAGTCATCTATACGCATATAGTATATAATAAATGTGTAATTATAACACACTAGTTTAAATAACAGTTACAACAGTAGATGGGAGATCCATAGAGTGGAGGAAGCAGATATGGGGAGGGAGGACCAGAGGGACAAGGAAGGTGCAGTTGCAAAGATTGCTCCAATTACATTCCGTGCACATACAGATAAGGCAGATGAACCCCACAGTGTGCAGCTAAAATGCACCAAGGAAACAACATGGCAGCCAAACAAGCCTCTGTAATATTTCAGTGTTGTTAGAGGCATAAATTTAGTATATTCTGTCTTTAAGTATTTGAAATGTTTAAGACTTTGAACATGTTAGCCCTGCAGTTTCTACTAAAGCCGCCAGCTTAGCCAATATCATTAGAGTGAACTTGAGTTGGAAGACTTTAAAGGACATCTAACTCTCAAATGTTATCGGCACATTGTCATTTGTGTTCCTGTTTCTGTTAGGTGACTCAATGTATTGAGAACATTTTAATGGACTCGTAGTACGTCTTTATGGGGTGGCATGATGTTTCAGGGGATGTAAGCATTGTGCTTTGCTTGAATCTGAGAAAACATTTCCATCTCCTCAAGCACTTACCTCTTCTTCTGAAAGTCCTCTCTATGGCTCTTTATTCCGAGCAGTACAATGTCCTCCTCTATGGCCACCCTGCTGCACAATGAGACCTGATACCTTTAACAGTGACTAATACCGGTTGGATGACCTTTCCCCACCCAGCCCTCCCCACTCTCCCCAGCCTGTGGCAAGCACTATTCTCCCAAATTCCTCCAGATCCCTTTGGTTTTCCTCCACGTGTGAGTGAGGTGGCCCAGCCCTTGTCTCTCTGTGGCTGACTCTTCCCTCAGCATCCTGGTCTCCAGCTCCAGCAGCATTAGCATGTTTAGTAGGACTTCAAAAGTTTAGCATGTTTGAAGCTCCTCTGCTTCAAAGTTTAACCCTCTATGTCCACTAAGATCATTTAAGTACTCGATCCGCCACTCATCAAAATACGGTATGTGGCACATGATGCTATTTAAGAAATTTAAGTTAGTTTAAGTTGTAAAATTTATCAGCTTTGTGAATGTCATACTAAGGTTTGTAAGTTGAACTTAAGTTTAGAAAAAAATGGGCTTTGATGTTTTGCTGTAATATATTAAAATATGAATTTTAAAAATATTTCAATTTTAAAAATAGTTGGGCAAACATAACATCTACCTGCACAAACGCCACATTTACAAGAATTAAAATTCACCCATATTCAAGGTTGAGAAATTTCTTGAATTAGTGGACACAGAAATTCTCAGGAAGAGAATGATATTATGTCATTTGCTGGTAACACAAATGGAACACAGACGGTGAGACAGAGCTCCATAGATTGAGGATCACAATGGCTAGAACTAGACATTCTAATGGCACCCCTGACAGATCTCCAAAGCCTAGTCAGAATAAAGAAAACCTGGAAACACCAGCTCTGTAACACAGCACCATGATGTGAGTTTAAGACAGACATACTAACTATTAATATACGTTTCCCATGATATCACCAAGAGCATGGATCTGTCACATCTGGGGGAGATACAGTGCAGCGATGTTTAGTGGTGACAAAGTTCAGGACAGAGAGGGGGGAAATGGGTAAGAGAGAGAGCCATGCATGAATGCACACATTTATGTGCCACTGACTGGGGGTTAGCTAGAATTCTGTGCTACCTGAGTGCCAAAAAGGAAAACTCGAGAACTTAAAACTCCAATTAGCACACAATTCACTTCCATTTACAGAAGGGCCTTTAATTAAGTTTTTCTGTTGCAGGTGTGAAAATATTTGGCAACAAAGCCTTGCAAAATCATCCAGCTCAGAGGAGGATAGCATTTCTGGGTAACTGTACATCTAAATATAACTCCTCTCTTGTGCTGTGCCGTTATTAGGATCTGATAATTATAAGAAACACAACAGGAGTTTGCGCTTCCAGGTGGGTGACTGAAGATTAGATTCTGTTTATAAAATGCTGCTTTTCCCCATTTTGAAGATTAACTTTGGAAGAAAGGACTGGCTCTCTGTGCTTTCACTTGAGCAATTAATTATTTGGGGCTCATTTCCCGTTTGTGAAAGCATTAAGGGATGTGAGGTTTTGATAAGGCTGAGTTGCGGCAGAAGGCTCTTAACTCTTCTCTGGGGCAAACTGCACCTCAGCAAATAGAAGGCAGACTTCTATGACCCTTGGAGTAGAAAAATGCAGTGGTCTAAGGGATCACTTGTGCCCATGGAATGAAGCATTCCCAAACTAAGATGCTGAGCTGGGGGCACAGAAAGCCTGCTTGCTGAGAAAGCAGAGCAGAAAAGCCCACATTCCAGCCTGGGTCACAGGGACCATCACACAGTGCACAGATGGGGTGCCAACTAAGGATGGTACCATTTGCAAACGTTCTGCTGTATCATGGCACAAGAGTGACATGCATCCAGCAGAAAATGTACTTTGAATTTTGAATTTTGATCTCGTCCTGGGCTAGCCACATGTGCTATGACACTCTCAAGGTGCTGGGCCATGGCAGGAGCCACAGCTCCCAATTTGCAAGGTGATTATTATTATAGTTTAGAAGCAAAAATTCTAATTTCTGGTATCTGGCCATTACCATTGTGGAAACACCATTGTTATTGTTTAAAGGGTATGCAATGGCTTAAAAACATGAAAGGAAATTT